ATATACATAATATATACACATAAAGCACATGAATAAAAGTATTTTGTAGAAATTAGAATATAAATGTATGTAATTAAATAATATAAATGTTTGCAAAAATGTTGCAAAATTTATGTATAATACATACACTTTTTTATCCTTCAGAGTGCCTTCAACCCATTTTTTTCAGCCGGGTTTCGTAGCACATAACACAAACACACACACACGCACAACTAACACACACATAACTAACCTAAAAGATTCTGTATATGACAGATAGCACTGAGAACTGTATAGCGCCTCTATCCCAAAATCTCGGAACTAATCTATAGCTCTTTTTTACCTTATTCTTTCTATATTGCACACATGCTTTACATAAATCTGGAAAAGGGTGGCGTTTTGAAAATAAGTCTCTAAGATCTATTTTTTTGGTTTTCCATTATTGTTTCATACGATCTTCTTCGGCACATGGTCTTGTTTTGCAGATTGAAGCAGTATAATTTTGATATAAAAGATATAATTCTTTGAGGTGACATTGTCGGTAAATTTTCAAAAATTTTTTTTATTTTTTGGTTTAAATTTGACCAACTGCCGAAAGATTAGCATATGTACTTTATTTACACCAAAGGATTTGTAATTCTATTAAAGCAATAAAAAACGCCACCCTGTTTAGAAAATTGAAGTTTCGGTCGGTAACAATATGACTTCAGCATCCTCTTAATTATTTTGACTATTTTGTATAAGCAATACTATTAATTTTTATCTTTGTTTAAAATGTTTTGTGTTACAGTTGATTTAACTGAGACAGTTAACAATGGTCTGTGTAGAATTGAAATATTTTAAATATAAACAAAATGGCATCAAACTCAGAAAATCAGAACAACAATCACATGGATTACCGCATAGATAATGCAACAACAGACAAATGTTATGAACTCGCCGAGACAAAGAACGCAATAAAATGTAAGTTATTGTTCTTCATATCAGCCGCGAATTGTTAGATGCATCTAAGAAATTTGGCAATTTTGGAATATACGTTTTCACATTTTCTATTGTATGCTCATATTTTTTATCCGTCCATTCATTGTTAGATGTATGCTGGTCTATGAAATGTTTTATATTCTTTATCATGTGCTTCTTACATTTCATTGCGTTTTTTGCCTCGGCGAGTTCATAACATTTGTCTGTTGTTGCATTATCTATGCGGTAATCCATGTGATTGTCGTTCTGATTTTCTGAGTTTGATGCCATTTTGATAATAATATTTAAAATATTTCAATTCTACACAGAATAATGGTACATCGTGGAGATCGCGGCCAAAGTGCAACGGACAGACCGCTCTGGTTGGATATGGACATGTTTCGGAGAGGACAAAAATTCGCACAAAAACACATCTTCTCGATCTTCCTCGCTAACATGCTGTCACTGTTCCAAATATTTACTTTTAAAGACAGTCTTAAACCGATAATTTTGATCCGGCAATCTCACACGTCGTACTTAGCGTTTAAAGTTTAAAAAGTGTAAGTTGTAATAATTTCGACAAAATTTTTCAAATATATGAAAAGATTTCTACAGAATTTGATAATTAGATTTAAATCAAATAATTTATTTTTCTATTAAACTTGTATTTCTTATAATGATAATGGTATATTTACAGAAATCATTCAATATATAGCTTGAGAAAAACAAAAAGCAGAAATTACAGAATTTTTTACTCTACTGCAAAATAATTTTAACTACAGCTAATCTCAACTGTTATGTAATAAATATAAATAATTTTTTCGAAATAATATACAAAACTGTAGTTGAATTAAATTTAAATGATTGAATTAAATTACATTCGGTATATTTTTGAAAAATGCACGTCAAAACTTTATGATTGAAGATACTTGCTGATCTATTGCTTGCCGTGTGAGAAACTGGATGACAGAGGATCCTTGGACCGAAGGTACAAAGATTCATCAAGACATTCAAGCTGGGATGCATCGTGCGATACGGCTGAAACTTTGCGAGTACGATCATGAGGAACTCGATGCGGCCACTAAAATCTCGAACCCTGATGATGCCGGAATAGAAAAACAATCCTAGAAGATTTTTCTTCCTGTCCGTATCCGACCGTGGCAAACGGTTGTCTTCATCTACTGTTCAGACCCACGGGATTAAATCAAGCTGATATGGCAGCTACGCAATTCGCTTTTATGGGAATAATTCTGCTTTATCCGGACAAGCTCGGCGTTCACATTAACGACGAAGATATGATAGTTTTTTGTCACCTATGAAAAGGTATAGGATATCTTCTTGGTATCGAAGATGACTAAGTACGATGGCATTTCCGCGCAAGTTCGCTCATCATTACATTTCAAACACTGCGATGTTAATAGCAAGGTCATTATGGCAGTAAGTTCATCTAATAACAAGTTTAAACTTTTCTTTTGAGTTTAACGTATTTCCATTCTAGAATAAATTTTTTATTTATCTGAACATTGATTTTTAATCTTTATCCAATGTATATTTTTGCTTTTGCTTCTTGATTTTTATTTGTTATGTGTTTGTTGACTGATCTTTTTATCACTTGCATACTTTTATTATTTTTTATAATCTATTATAATATATTGTTCTATAGTTTGTTCTATAAAATTAGTACGTTTTACCGACAATAAATCTATGCTCTAGATACAATTTTTGTCGCGGCACCCGGGAAAAAACGTTCACGCTTGATTTTATATAATTATATATGAGCATACAAAAGTATACATGAAATGTTACATAATTTTGAATGATAATATATTATTATGTATAATTATATATATTCATGAATGGTTGTATATATAACCATGCATGATCATATACATTCGAACATGTATTTGTATGGAACCATACGTGTTGTGTGTGCAGACTGTTTACGACTATGCATGATCATACACCATTCCATACAATACATTGTCCGATCTTGCATGGTCGTATATGAGCATGCATAATCGTATATGGTCATATTCATTAATACATGAATTTATAAAAAACCATATATGATTGTATGCAAGCTACTATATGATCATACATGATCATATACGATTCCGTACCGTACGGAATTCTTATTCGTACGGTCATACATGATCGCATATGTTCGTA